ACTACACACACACACACACACCTTCCCCTCCCCCCCCCCATGCCCGCATCGCCCCGGGCGCAGGCACGCGACTTGCGCCCCGCCTCGCCCACTCTCCACCCCTGGGAGAGATTCCCCTGGACTCGCTCCTCCGACAGCGTGGGGAGAAGAGCCGCTCCGGGCGCCCCGCCGTCCGACGCCGAGAGACAGGCGCCGAGAAAGCCTCTGAGAACGTGCAGAGAGCCGGAAGGTCCCGGATGCCAAAGCCGGGGCTCCCTTCTGCCCACCTCCGCTGAGCGACGGCCGCAAACAGGAGGCAGGCGCCTGGAGCACCTCTGAGAACGTGCAGACGGCCGGAGGGTGCCGGCCAGGCGACAAAGCCGGGGCTCCCTTTTGGCCTTCCCCCGTACGACGCCCCACGAACAAGAGGCAGGGAGGAGAGAGCGTCTCTGAGAACGTGCAAAGAGCCGGAGGGTGCCGGGCGCCAAACTCCGGCCTCCCTTCTCCCCACTCGGTCGTACAACGTCCCGAAAGAAAAGGCAACCGCAGCCTCTAAGATCGCGCAGAGTGCCCGAAAGAGACAGAGAGCGTCTCTGAGAACGTGCAGAGAGCCGGAGGGAGCCAGACGCCAAAGTGGGGGCTCCTTCTGCCCACTCCGACGCCCGAAGCCCCCAAGCCAGGAGCAGACAAGAGGCAGAGCCTCTGAGGACGTGCAGAGGGCCGTAAAGTGCCAGAAAGAGACAGGCAGAGAGAGAGACAGAGCCTCTGAGGACGTGCAGAGAGCCGCGGAGTGCCCGAAAGAGACAGAGGGCGCCTCTGAGAACCTGCAGAGTGCCTGACGGTACCCATCATCGAAGCGTCCCAGCAACCGGCGGCGGCGGACCAGAGCCAAGCAGGCGCGTCTCCCCCCCACCGACGCCCGCGCGCGCTCCCTCCCTCCCTCCTTCCCTCCCCGGAGCCGAGCCGGGGCAGCCTCCTCTGCGCTCCCCGCCTCCGACCAGCGCCGTCCCCGCGCCCGGGCCACTTCCCTCCGGCTGCCGTCGAAACCAAGTGCCAGGCTGCGGCTCCGGAGCCGCAAGAGAGCGATCTGCAGCCCTCCGGGGAGGCTGCTCGCGGGGATGCCCGAGCTGGGCTAGCATGGCCCGGCGCCCCCCTTCGCTGCTCCTCCTCCTCCTCCTCCTCCTCCCTCCGCTGCTGCAGAGCCGGAGCTGCTCCCCCTGCTTCTGGTTCGCCACGCCGGACACGGTGCAGTGCCGCTTCGTGCAGCTGCAAGAGCCGCCGGCGGAGCTGCCGTCCGCGGTGCGCAACCTGACCGTGGTCGGGGCCAACCTGACGGTGCTGAGACGGGCGGCCTTCGCAGGGGGCTGGGCACCGCGGGCTTCTTCGCCTCGCCGGCCGCTGCTCCACTTAACGTTGCTGGCGTTGCTCCGGAGCCGCATCGAAGCGCTGGAGGAGGCGGCCTTCGCCGGGCTGCCGTCCCTGGCCGCGCTGGATTTAAGCCACAACCCGCTGCGCTGCGTCTCGCCCGGCGCGTTTCTCTTCTGCGCCCGCTTGCACCGGCTGAGCCTCAACGGGGCGCTGACGGAGGGACGGACGGCCGAGGAGGTGCTGGGCTCGGCTCTGGCCAACCTCACCCTTGCGCGGCTGGAGCTGGCCGGGAACGGCTTGCGCGCTCTGCCCCCCGGGTGGGCGCTGCCGGCGGCGTTGCAAGAGCTGGACGCGCGCAACAACTCGCTGCAGGCGCCGCGGCCCGACGGGATGGGCGCGCCTCTGCTGCGCTTGCAGCTGGCGGGGAATCCTCTGACTTGCGACTGCTCCGCTCTGCGACCGCTGCTGCTCTGGCTGGGCAACGCCACGTGGCGGGCGCCGGATCGGCGGGAGCTGCGCTGCGCGGCCCCGCCGCAACTGCGGGACGCGCTGGTGCTGCGCCTGAGGCCGCGCCAGCTCAAGTGCCTGGAGGAAGGGGCGGCTTGGGGGCTGCTGGAGCCCGTCGGCGGGCCGGAGCCGAAAGAGCTGGAGACCGTTTCCTACGTCTTCCTGGGCATCGTCCTGGCACTCATCGGGCTGGTTTTCCTGATGGTACTCTACCTGAACCGACGGGGCATTAAGCGGTGGCTGAACAATCTGCGGGAGGCCTGCCGCGATCAGATGGAGGGGTACCAATACCGCTACGAACAGGACAGCGACCCCCGGCGGGCCAGCCCGGGTGGTCTCTGAAACCGGGCAAGGATGGGGCAGGTGGAGGACAACTGGTGACCCCCTGCCTCCTGCGCTTGTCAGACTGGTTGGATGGGGGAGGTTGGCACCCCAAACTTTCTCCCTGGGGCAGCTTATTCTGATCTCCTGCCCCCTCCCCCCCAAATGATTAGACTTAGGAGGGGCTTTAGCCAGCACTGGCTGGAAGAGAGGTTGAGGGGTCGTGGGTTGGAGGAGTTCAAGGCTTGTGATGCCCTGGTCAAATGCCCCATTTCCTGAGATGCCAACCCGGTGGTGACATCTGGAAGCTAAGCAGGGTCAGAGCTGGTCAAAGCTTGGAGGGGAGGCTAGAAGAGGGGTGGGAAATCACCCTGATCTCTGAAGAAGGGACTATTGTCTGCAGGAATGTGGCTGGGGGACTCACTGAACTGAGGCTGTGCCTTAAGCCTGTCTAGAAAACTAGCATAAATGTTAACCGCAGCTAATCTGGGGAGTCTAAACAATGTTAAGATTTCCAAGGAGACGAATTTAATCTCACAGGAACACTTAAAGGCACCGTTGTTGATTCAGCCCTATGAATGCTCCACTCTTGAACTCAGAACTCTAGATTCTACTGAAGTTCCTCGCTTTTCACTTTACGGCGGACGGTTCTGCGAATTCCTCCACCGCAGTCTGACGCAGATTTTCCTGGAAAGCGAGCTTTTGTGCAATCCTGGGGCTGCCTTGTTCCCCTGAGAGCCCATCTCCTCCAGCCCAGGCTGCACCCCCCCCCCAAACTTTTGAAACTTTGTACTTTGGGCTAAAGCCTGTCCCCCTTTAACACTCAGGGGGTGACGGATACCCAGAAAATGCCACAAACTGAACAAACGTTTTCTGCCAACGTAGCTGATGATAATTCCTTGCAATAATTTAGATATGGGTGGAGGGTATGATGGTTGATTTCCCCAAAGGGATTTGGGGGATTTGATTCCTGTGAATGAAGGAATTCCAGAGTCCTGATATGGGTTTGCCAGTTAAACAAATGGGGGGTCAGGAATCATGAGAAAGGGGCTTCCACTGTCTTCCTCTCTGCATTGGAGGATTGCCTCCCCTTAGAAAAAATATTATCAAAGAAAAAAATATGGGATTTTTTCCCCTCCCATCTGTGGGTCTCTTCCCCCCCCCCAAATTCAAATGGGTCTGTGCCAGCACCCTATGGAAAAGGGGAGGGTGCCCCCATCTTCTTCTGCCCTTAGTCAGCCCAACCCTCCCCCCCCCTTTCCCCAGCAGCATGGGTTCTGGAGTCAGTAACTTTCTGCCGGACCATTAACTTTGAATTATTTCAGACCCGATTCCTTCCCGCAGACTTTTTGAGCTTCAGGGAATGTTGCAGTAGAACAGAAAAATCCTTTTTAAAATAAAAAAAAAAACCTTTTTTGGTGTGTTTCAGGTTTTAGAAACACACACATGAACAGTTGCCATAATCCCTAAAGGGGAGAATATCTGGAAGCAAAGCCTGGTAGATTTCTTCAGAGTAGATCCATTCAAACCAAATAACCATTTCTCCTACTCCAAACAGATCTCTGCAGCCGTAGAATACCCGTATCTCAAAAGTAGCCGGCTGCAGGCCCTTGTTTAACTCGTACCTTTACCTTTGCAGCATTATTAGTCAATAATCACATAGGATATATGCAGAAGACCTTCCTATATTTATTGCTGCTCCAATATTAATTCTGATTTATTTTATTTTTATTACTGCTGAAGGAGACGGGAGGGTCCTAAGTGTAAAGGACTGGGGAAGTCACCTTGGAGTGCTCAGGGGAAGCAAAGGCATCAGGGAACACATTAAAATCTTAATAAACTTAAGTTTTTCTTCCAAGGAAAACGAAATTCTCATCTGAGCATTGCTGTTTTTATTCGCCTGTCCGCACAAACTGGGTTTCAATGGAAATCTACATGCCTAAATTGCCTTCCCCAAAAAGTGTCCTTCCCGCCCCAGGTCGCCTTTCTGGAGCCAAGGTGGCGCAGTGGTTAAATGCAGCACTGCAGGCTACTGCTAGATCAGCAGTTCAGCGGTTCAAATCCCACCGGCTCAGGGTTGACTCAGCCTTCCATCCTTCCGAGGTGGGTAAAATGAGGACCCGGATTGTTGTTGGGGGCGATATGACTCTCTGTAAACCGCTTAGAGAGGGCTGAAAGCCCTATGAAGCGGTATATAAGTCTACTGCTATTGCTATTGGTTTCACAGCTGTGACCAGGTGACCTTAAAATGTTGAAGGGAGGAAGGAGAAGCTGGCCCAGGCGGGAAGACAGAATCCTAAGAGTTGGGAGCAACCTTAGAGGCCATCTAGTCAACCCCCTGCTCAGCGCAGGCTGAAACAGTGTTCTATAAACACGGTAAAATGCCTTAAATGAGAAAGCTGCCTCTTTCTTTGAAGTGGGCAGTACGAAGCAGCAAAGAATACAAGGTAGTCCTCAACTTATGTCCACGATTGGGACCAGAATTTTTGTTGGCCCAGCAAGGAAGTTGTTCAGTAGAGTTATGCCTGATTTTATGACCTTGTTTTTACCAAGTCCGTTAAGTGAATGATGCAGTTGTTAAGTGAATCATTGCAGTTGTTAAGTGAATGATGCAGTTGTTAAGTGAATCGTTGCAGTTGTTGAGTGAATGTTGTGGTCATTAAGTGAATCTACCTCCCCCCCAATTGACTTTCAGGAGCCAGCTGAGAAAGTTGCAAAGGGTGATCACATGACCATGGGATAGTGCAATCTTCGGCCAAGTACCTGGATTTTGATCACATGACCTTGGGAAAGCTACAATGGTCGTAAGTGCAAGGACTGGTCATAAGTCATTTCCCCCCAGCGCTGTTGTAACTTTGAACAGATCCTGAATGAACGTCAGTCAAGGGCTAAGAGAATTTTCAGCTTCTATTATAATGAGGCTATTATAGTAAGAGCTGTGGACTTAAATTCCTTTCACCTGCCGGCTGGGGAATTCTGGGATTTGAAGTCCACCCATCTTCCAGGAGCCAAGGTTGAGAAACGCCCCCTAGAGTCTCTAATGAAGCATCATCCAGCCTGTTTTTTTAGGATCCATTGGTATTCCAGGCACCAGAGAATGCAAAGAGGCCGGGAATATTTTCAGCTTTCTGAACTCTGTGGGAGCCACCCAAAGTGTTATGTTTCCACAAACAGGATGGAGATCTTGGTTTTGCTGGTGTTTCCATCTGGTGGAGAATCTCTTGGGGACTTTGGATAATGAGATGGGTGAAGAAAGAGAAGAAAAAAGGAGAAGAAAAAGGGAAGGAAGGAGAAAGTAAATGAGAAAGGAAAGGGAGGGAGAAAGAAAATGAGAAAGAAGGAAGGAAAAGAAAGAGATAGAGAGGCAGAGAGAGAGAGAGAAAGGGAGAGAGAGAAAGAAGGAAAGGAGAAAAAGGAAAGAAAGAAGGAAGAAGGAAAAGAAAGGGAGGAAAAATAAAGAAAATGAGAGGGAAGGAAGGGAAAGAAAGAGAAAGAAAGGAAAGAGGAAGAAAAGAGGAAGGAGAGAAAGAAGGAAGGAAAGAAGGAAAAGAAAGGGAGGAAGGAGAAAGAAAATGAGAGAAGGAAGGAAAAGAAAGGAAAGAAAGAAAAAGAGAAAGGCAAAGAGAAAGGCAGAGAGAAAAAGAAAGGAAAGAAGGAAGGAAAGGGGAAGGAGAGAAAGAAGGAAAGAAGGAAGGAAAAGAAAGGAAGGAAGGAGAAAGAAAATGAGAGGGAAGGGAAGGAAGGGAAAGAAAGAAAAGAGAGAGAAAGAAAGAGAAGGGGAGAAAGAGAAAGGAAGAAAAGAGGGAGAAGAGAAAGAAGGAAAGAGAAAGAAGGAAAAGGAAGGAAGGAAAGAGAAAGTTATAATAGTTTCAGGATTGCTTGGAAAAGGACCCCCCCTTTAAGTGTTCAAATTTCTTGCACTTTTGGTCCCGCAGGGGGCTGCCTTTAGCCTCTCTAAGAAATGGAGGTGGCATCTTCTTCACCGCGTGGCATTTTTCACTGTAAACCTTGCAAATATTTGCCCTGCCACCCTGAGGAGGACAGAAATAGCCCTTGGGTGGAAGGGACCCAATACAGGTGGGAGGTGAACGGGTGGGATTTGAATCCCAGGCAGCACAAAAGAGTGGAACTCTCTAGTTTTCACGCAGTCCTGGGTTTTTATTTTGCTTCCTTGGAAGAAACGTCCTTCTGGGTTCAGTTCCAAGTGGGGGAAAAGGACTCTGGAAACATGGAGGCTGCTTGGAACGATGGTTTAATGGTGGACAGGATCGCGTGGCTTGACCTCCTGAGCAGAAAAGTGGGGGTCATCAGATGCTTTAACGTTGAGTGAAGAAGAAAAAGAGAGCGAGATGTTGAAAGTCCCTGGTTTTTTTTTATACTCTCTGTTCGACCCCATTTCTCTTGTTTCCTGTTCCTGGGTAAGAAATGTATTCTGATTGGCTGTCAGACTCCCAGGGACCAGAGGGGCGGGAGAGAGGTTGTCTTAGCTAACTTTGTAGATTGTGTATCTTTTGAGTCCCAAGCTTGGTTGTGTTCCCAGATGCCATGGGGTGAGTTTCTATGGAAGGCTAATCCTACCTTTGCTGTATAGAGTAGACCGACTCAGGCCTTTTCATGGCCCATTGATAAACGTGGGGGGGGGCTATTAAGAGTTGAGTCTGCTTTCTGCCTGAAAACGTGTTTCCCTATTTCTGAATCCAGAGAAAATAGAATATTCTGCAGTTTTCCATATTTCCCAGGATATTTCATTTTTCTAGGAGAGAGGGGGTGGGTGCTAACTTCCTACCGTTTATGAAGCTTTATTGAGCAACATCTGGTACATTGTCAGTGAAGCCGATCTATAGGCATGGACCTGCATAGGGGTGTGTTTTGTGTGTTGTGATATTTTTTGGGGGAGAAAACGTCTACAGGATTTGGTTAGTGAGGAGGCTGATTTGTGCAAAAGTCATCACAAAGATGCAACAGATTGTGTATGTGTGTGTGTGTGTGTGTGTGTGAGTGTGTGTGTTGTATTTGTGCTGATAAATAAAGGGAGACTAGTGTGTGTGTGTGTTGTATTTGTGCTGATAAATAAATAAAGGGAGACTAGTATAGATCTATTTCAAGATATTTAGCTCTCATCAGCTAGCCATACCCTTACTGGGATTCGAACCTGTGCTGTATTGCCTCTTAGGCAGATGTGTTAACCACTGAGCCACAGGTCCTCCTCCTATATCAACTTGAGCCAGGGAGGTAGGTATATATTTAGTGTCACAACCCCTGGTA